TGTTGAATATTTATTCGCTATGTAATAAACATTGTGTTGGTACAATTCACAATTTGTCCACTTATGTGTGCGACTGTTCCTGGGGTGCACATAAGACTTTTATACATCCTCTTTTGTTCTTAAAATTGGGTGTGACAAGCCATGTGGTAGATCGCGGATGTGACACTCTCGTTGAGTCCTTTGTAGTCCACTCCCCGAATATAGGTATATAAGTAGGATCTAGTTACGAAGGAAGACAATCTCTATTCTTAATCTTCCTTAGTAATATCCCTTATGTGTAGATATAAAGATGATCTTAGCCATGATTACTAGGTGTAATTGGACTAATCAATGTATGCTTTGACTTGTAATTAAGAATGACTTAGGAATTATTCCTCTAATATTCTACCTGACCATGCTAATGCCATAAAAAGGAGTACTCTGAGTGATTTATCATTATTGTTGATCAATACTTATCATATATATATATATCCTATCCTATGACTTACCCCTGTTATGAGTAGAATATTGGCTATGGTTTACTTCTCCATCAATAGTATAAGTTATCAATACTTATCCATGCTAGACCTTCCCTGTGGTAAAATATAAATAACGATACCTGGAATACTCTCGGGTGAAGTACTACAATGGTATAATTATTTGTGCACTTGCAGATTCCTTTTCATTCATATATCTTTATATTCTTTCTAGTCACATAAAATGATAAAGAACTACTTAGTATCATTCTAGTAGTGATGCTAGGCAGTACCAACAAGCATCTCTGGCACCATCACTAGGAATGATAACCTAGTAAATTAATGTTAGGAGATGTAGGTAATTAATAGGTGGCTACTAAAACAAGTGACAAGTTAATAAATACCAACAAGCATTTCTGGCGTCGTTGCCGGGGATGACAACCTAGTAAAATAATGTTAGGAGATGTAGGTAATTAATAGGTGGCTACTAAAACAAGTGACAAGTTAATAAATATCAACACCCCTTCAGGATCGCCCGATGGCTCGGGGGCTATGCCCATCGGGCATGCTCGCGTGCACCATCTAGCAAAGAGATCTGGCCGAGCCTGACTCGACCATAGGCTCCACCTAGGGCTCGGGGGCTTCCCTGAGCCTCAGGCTCCCGATCTATAGCATGACCAAGACTAGTCCTTGGCTCCTGGCTGGCTCACGATGCCAGCCAAGGCCTGGGCACAAGAAAATAGGCCCTAAGCTATCGATACTCGGGGTCTCCTCGGCGGCGCTCCCTAGATGTGGCCCTGCCAACTGCTCCTTCGACAGGGTCACGTCCGGGGCATGACACAAGAAGACAAAGCTTCCCATGGCCTCTGGGGGCTTGTGGGCTTCTGGGTCTGCACGTCAGCCCCTGGAGCCGACCTCCTCCGCCACCAAGAAGACTCTAGAAGGTCTCACCAGGGGGAGGCCGGTCCAAGCTAACACCGCCTGACACGCAGATTGTCAGAATAGAGCAGTCAGACGACGCCTAAGGCTTCTTTGGCTCCAAGACACCACCACAGTCCATGGCGCATCGTGGCATGACCCTCCTGGACTTCAGCGCACGTAGACCATAGACTAAACGCCCAAACTGCCATACCCGACCTATCTCGTTATATAAGGGATAAAGTCAGACCTAGAGGGGAGATGTGAGGGATATGATCCTTGGTACCCATAAGACAAGACATGGGCCGCACCATCAGAGGTGGCCCAGCCCACAAGATCAAGGGGTGCATGACACTGGTCGACGTGCACCGCAAGATATTATATAGTACCAAATAGAATACTTTCCTTATAACCCTACCCCTCTAGAGTATATAAGGAGAGGCAGGGTCCCCTAGTCGACAGCTACTACATCTCAATACAATACACCAAAGACATAGGACATAGGGTATTATGTTGATCAGACGGCCCGAACCTGTCTAAATCATTGTCTCTGCGCCTTGTGTCACCATCCGGTTCCTGATTACGCGCACCTCCACCGATCAATCTACCTACGTGGGATACCCCTCAAAGGACTGCCGAGCATCTTTTGTCGATAGTTGGCGCCCACCGTGGGGCTTGTGTGTGCTGATCCCTAGCAAACCAGATGGCATAACTCAAGATCAACATCCTTCACGGCAACTCGACGGATCACGTCAAGATCAACATCCTTCACGGCAACTCGGCGGATCACGTCAACATCCTTCGACAACCACAGTGCATGTCTTCGTATGCGGATTGACACCGCCAAGCTCCAACTACGTCCATCCTACTCCAACACGAGATCAACTTCATTCCAGCCATCAAGCGAGCCACTAAGCGAGCTGCCCGTGTCGCCGACCAGATAACGCCATACACCGCTGACCAGACATTCTGTCTAAAGCTAAGTCACGCTTTAATATTTTTCTAAATATTCTCTAATCTCTGTATATCGCCATAATGTTTCTCCGAGCTGTTTTCTCTATGTTTGCTCTCAAAACGATTTTATGAACCCCCGAACAGTCATGTTGACGCTCGGATGTCCCTAGAGATGGCCTTGTCTCTAGCTCCTCCCTACACGTGCACGAGCGTCTGCCCTCTGCGTTATGGGTGGTCGGCAGTGGCCCCTTAGCAATGCTTTGTTCTTCCTACACATGCATGGGCTCCGCGCTTCGTGTTATGGTTAATGGTCTAGCTAGGGCTGGAGACTCAGCTACACACTAACTGGTCGGGCGGTTTATATTAAACATAAATACATATTCAAGTGTTCACACCAACTGATTGCCGAGCTGCATATGCTATTTCATCACCATTGCTGATTCTTCTCCGAAGTTCATATATTTTACATCATGTACTACCCATTCTACATATTTGTATTGCAGGATCATTGTCTAGGTGGTCGGACCACCTGGTGCTCTGACTTCTCCACCAATCAACTGGTCGGACCACTAGGTTCATGGACTTCGTCACCGACCAATTGATCGGACTGTTCGTCGGTCACTCCTATTCAATGCTCACTTCACCGCTGACCAGTTGGCTAGACTCCTCGGCGCTCAGACATAGCCAGCTACACCGGGGACTCCTCGGTGCTCGGACATCGCCAGCTACACCGGGGACTCCTCGGTGCTCGGACATCGCCAGCTACGCCGGGGACTCCTCGGTGCTCGAACATCGCCAGCTATGCAGGGGACTCCTCGATGCTCGAACATTGCCAGCTACGCCGGGGACTCCTCGATGCTCGGACATCGCCAGCTACGCCGGAGACTCCTCGGTGCTCGGACATCGCCAGCTACGTCGGGGACTCCTCGGTGCTCGGACATCGTCGGCTAGGACGTGAACTCCTCGGTGCTCAGACATCGCTGGCTATGCTCGAGGACTCCTCGGTGCTCGGACAACGCCGGCTACGCTGGGGACTCCTCGGTGCTCGGACATCGCTGGCTACGTCGAGGACTCCTCAGTGCTTAGATTCTTCATGCAAGCATCGCCAGGTAAGCTAAGGACTCCCTTGGTGGTTGGATCTTGCTATGTCTCATTGGTGTGCTATCAAGTTGCGCCATGTTGTTCGAATCAGGGTGCTGATCTTGGGCAGCACGTCTGGGGTCTTGATACGCGCATGTCAGATGACGTCGGCAAGCTTTTAGACTTCTTTTCTTTGACCCTGCTACAAGATTCATTCTTCATCTTCTAGTAGGCTCGGGGACTAAGTGGCTACACTTCACCTAGCGGTGAATGTAGTGCTTATTTCTTGATTTACCCTCCTTACTGACAGAGTCTAAGTGGCTACACTTCTCCTAAGTGGAAGAATTTTTAGAATTTTTTGATTTTGAACTTGAGCTCCTTACATCCTTATGGCAAGCCTTACTTGGGATACACTGCTCGACGATGGTACACACTGCTCGGCGATGGTTCACAACTGCTCGGCGATGGTTCACAACTGCTTGGCAACTCATCATGGTGGTCGGACCATGAGTCTGACAGCTCGGCTTTGTTCGCACATGCTCGGACAAGCTCAAGACGGTGTTGCACAACGGATACAAGGCGCTCAGGGACTAACTATGGGGGATATGATCCCCGGTACCCATAAGACAAGACATGGACCGCACCATCAGAGGTGGCCCAGCCCATAAGATCAAGGCATGCGCGGCACTGGTCGACGTGCACCGCAAGATATTGTATAGTACCAAATAGAATACTTTCCTTGTAACCCTACCCCTCCAGAGTATATAAGGAGAGGCAAGGGTCCCCTAGTCGATAGCTACTACATCTCAATACAATACACTAAAGACATAGGACGTAGGGTATTATGTCGATTAGACGGCCTGAACCTATCTAAATCGTTGTCTCTGCACCTTGTGTCACCATCCGGTTCCTGATTACGCGCACCTCCACTGATCAATCTACCTTCATGGGATACCCCTCGAAGGACTGCTGAGCATCTTTTGTCGATAGGAGAGGATCCCATTTTGCGATCACCAGACACTCCATTCCATCCGCCTCTGCTCTGCATAGAGAGCAAGGCAACCCAGACAGGGGCACCGAGAGCCTCTCCTCCACCGTATTCCATCATTTTCCTCCTCTCCGACAAGGGGGAAGGCACCACAGGCAGCGAGGCAACCTTAGAATTAGCACCGAGCTAACCTCCCTACCAAATCTTCTTCCTTTACACTCTATTGTAACCCCCTAATTTTGGGTGCTCTTGAATATAAGGATCATCAGCTGCTGGACGTAGGGACCGAATTAGCTCGAACCAGGATAAACTGTTGCATCTCCCCTGCATGATTCTTGTGTTCCTAAGTCCACCCAAGCCACCAAATACCCATACTCTGACACTGACTCAAACAACATGTTTGCCGTGGTTTTGACCCTGCGACACCTAGGTAGTTAGTTGAGGCACAGATGAAGATAGAGGAGAAGAGAGAAAGTTTACTAAGTACCAAGTACCTTGATATGGCCAATGTAATCCTCAGGATCTAGCATGATTGCCCTCACTTCCACATCCCATAGGGCTCCACTAAGGTCCTTAAGCTTGCTGATCCTACCCAACCTCTGCCTCTATTTCCTCAAGTGGTTGTACACTTGGGTGGAGGACACTTCCTCACCACAGTACTCTCTCAGCTGTTTGGCTACCTGGTTCACCTCCTTGTCATTAATTCCCTTATCTGCTCTAGCCCCACTTTCAATCTGTTGCTTCATCCTCCTAAGGACAAAGCCACTAGTGTTTGCTATCCACCTCATGGGTGGTCTAGCTGCTGCAATAGCACCATCAGCAGCACCAACACCATCACCAATAGTAGTAGCACCAGCAACAACATGCACATCATCATCAACAACAAAAGTAGCAGCAGTAGGAGCACCAGCAGCAGCAGCAGCTGGGGCAAAGGCAGACCCACCAGGCAGCATTGCAGATGCATTGACAAACCCAGCACCACTAGCAGCACCATTCCCAGCCATCTAAGTTCCATGTACAACACACTTGTCATGAACCAAGCACATAATATGGAACAGCAGGAGAACAACAGATTTGGAACATAAATAATTGGTCTCAGCTAGTGTCTAGAAAGGAAATATTACATAAGTATAACAATGCAACATTAGTTCCATACAAGGTAGCCTTATCTTATTACATTAATTATCGGGACATGAAATGCACAGCTAGGTCCTATGAGCCCCCCTAGAATCCCACATGGCATCAGAGATGGCATCCCTAACTCATGCCATGGTAGGCACCTCTTATGTCTACAAAGCATTAATAGCTGGACCAGTGGAAGAAGAAGAAGCAGGGTTTGCATCCCACTCTGCTTTAGTTGGTAATACTTCATCAACCCCAAACCCTAGGATCCAATTATGTAGGATGCAGCAGGCCTGAACCAGCTTCACTTGTGTCTTGTACTTATGAAATGGCTTGTTATCTAGGATTTGAAAGCGGTTCTTCAGAGCACCAAAGGCCCTCTCAATGGTCACTCTAAGGGAGCTATGCCTCAGGTTGTATAGCTCCTTGGCATTAGTTGGGTTATGCCTAGGACCATACTCAGATAGGTGATACCTCACAGCCCTGTAAGGAGGCAGGAACCCAGGTCTACAAGCATAACCAGCATCCACTAGATAGAATTTTCCTACAAGGAGAGTGGTGGATTAGCTTACAAGACAGAATTTTATGGTTTAAGATGAAATAGACAGCTATGGGTAATGATGTTACCTTCAAGAACACTTAGCCCCCCATCCATCTCTATAGCATCAACTAGAACCAAAGCATCATGAGAAGACCCCTCCCACCCAGCCGAAACATATGTGAACTTGAGATCAAAATCAATAGGTGCCATCACATTTTGTGTACATCTTCCTTTCCTACCCCTAAAGGGCCCCTACATGTGCCTGGGCACCCTTGCCAACACATGGGTGTCATCAATGGCACCAATATAGTCCTAAGATGAAGGATTAAACATAAGTATGGAAATACAATCCTAAACCCAAGATAATAGAACCAAGATAGCCAACTGTTACCTTGAAAAAGTGTTCCACCTGTGACTACCTAGGATTTTGACATGTGTTGAACCAGATGGTGGTTTGATCATCTTAGCCCTTAGTTCCCCAATAGCATATAGAACATGGTGGAAGTGTCTGCTAACTGTCTCTATAGAACTTCTAAAGCTCTGATGGACAACTCTAAACCTCTGATTGTGCCCAACAACATGGAGAAACATGGCAACTTGTTCCTCAACTGAGGAATTAATTGTGTCCAGAACTAAACCCCTCTGCCTAAACAAGTTGTAGAGTGCAAAAAAAGGTGCTCTACTCATCCTAAGCATGGCTATACACTCAGCATCAGTTGAGTTGTAAATGAGAGAAAGGTTCTTCTCCCTGTGCTCATCTGCTTCTAACCTAGGGACATAAGAAATGGGCTCATCCTCCCCTCTACGCCTTTTCGGTTTGGATGAAACAAGGGCAACCATGCCAACTACCATGGCAGCAGCCTAAAAAGCCAAGGTAGATCTTTGCTACTGCAAATCCATCTACATGCATGAATGAAATGTTGAATTCAGGTTAAGGCTGCCTTGCTGGCCTCTAAATGCATCACATTGAAGACATGAAATTGAACTAATGGACAGGGCTTCATGGCCTCGGCTGCAATGTGCAGAGCATAACCACCCAGAGGCTCCACCTCAACATCATCGACCATAATAAACCCTAGAAAAATCGGATCCCAAGCTCAAACCATGCTTAACAGTAAACCCTAGCTCATACATCTTGTCACAATGAAATAGAAGCATGGAAATATCATGGATTGGGACCAAGAACTCAAAGATCCACCAAATAAATCACCAACAGTGGGATCCCAACCTCAGACCATGTCATAAAGCAAACCCTAGCAAACCCTAGCTCATATGTATCATCACAGTGCAACAAAAACATGGAAACATCAAGGATTGGGACCAAGAACTCACAGATCTGCCACAGAAACAACGCTATGAGCACTTTGACCGCCGAAATCAGGTCAAGTGTAAATACTTCACAACGCTATGAGGACTTTGACCACCGAAATCGGGTCAAGTGTAACCAACATTTCAAGATTTCACCTTGCTTTCAGGACGGAGAGGAAGCAGCCACCAAAGAAGCCGACGGCTTGGGGGGGAGGAAGCAGATCTGGTGAGGAACGAGGTGAAAGCTTGGGGAAGATGAAGCAGCGTCCACCACAGGCCCACGTCTAGGCAAACAAACACTAGCAACCAGCAACACCGTTTGTCATGAGGAAGAAGAAGACGACGATGAGCAGCAGCACCCGTGCACCGGCGAGATGGAGGAGGAGGAGCAGACGCGAGCCACGCGAGGCCCGACTACGAACCCGCCGCCATCATGCACCGCCGGACGAGGGAGGAGACGACAACCGCACCGAAGAGAGTGGAGAGTAGGAGGGAGTGAGGAGCGGAGAAGACGAGGGGGTCAGCGGTGCCCCTCAATATAAAGAGAGGTGAAACCCAAGCGAGAGGAAGGGGGGGGGAATTCCACATCGCGCGCGAGACGGGGAGCGTCAGCCCGCCAACGGCCAAAAGGGAGCGTGAGAGGCCGAATCGAGCCGAGCCCGGGAGAAACAAGGGGGAGGGGCGTTCCTCGAGGGTCTGGCTCCCAGCTGCTTTAAGCAGCGTGCGGGCTAGGCCTGGCTCACCCCCTCGTCCAGGCAAACAAACACGCCCTAAATTTTTTTCACTAGCCTCTCAACGTACCTGCCCGCGTGTACCCATGTTCCCTCATCCGTGTCACCTTCTCCCTCGTCGGTCATCAACTCATCATACGCAGCTTGCCCATCAAGAGGCTCCTATCTGCGCCGCCGCTCCTCCCTTTCTTCTCCATCCGCCGCCCATTGCCCTCTCCTTCCCATCTGCGTTGCTAATTTTTTTTCACTAGCCTCTCAACGTACCCGCCCGCATGTACCCATGTTCCCTCATCCGCGTCACCTTCTCCCTCGTCGGTCATCAACTCATCATACGCAGCTTGCCCATCAAGAGGCTCCTATCTGCGCCGCCGCTCCTCCCTTTCTTCTCCATCCGCCGCCCATTGCCCTCTCCTTCCCATATGCGTTGCTGCTCCTCCCCTTCTTCCCCTTCCGCCGCTCATTGCCCTACCCTCCCTATCCAAGTCGTTCCTCCTCCCTTTCCTCCCAGTCCACAGCGCATCCACTCCTTGAGTTTGGTCAAGCACGCGCTGGTGCCGAGGGCACGCTCCTTCTCCTGCCCCGTATGTGGCCTCCTTATGCGGTGACCTCCTTCACCATCACCAATTCACAAGGGAGCCCCCCTGCACTGGTGGAAGGACCAGGAAATCGTCCTCTAGAGCGCTCGTTGGCGTCGCCTGTCAAGATCGGCCACTTGCCCCTCACTCACATGCATTACCATCATCAGTGAGTGGCAGCTCAACAGCCCCATCGAATCATAGTCGTAGCGGAGGAAAACAAGGTGTATTCAGAGCCAATGATTATTCTGCTATTGTATCCTGGGTGTTCGAGAAATGTGTTTTTGGTTTGGTAGTTCAATTTATCTATACTCGGTTTTGTCTTCTTTAGCTATTCAGATTCAGAGTCAATGGTTTATGTATAATTATGTAAATTTGCTAAAAATGCAGCACTCTTTAACTATTCAAAGTTAAAAGCAAGTGTAGGCTTAGTATCAACTTTATGCAACTAGCTTCTCCGTCCCCAAATAAGGTGCACACCAACGTACAAATGAGACTATTTGCTCAGGAAATGATTGACTCGAATGCTACCGTTGGCACTGCAATTTGGAAGATAAATAAAGATACAATCCAGATTTACGCATGCTTAATCTGCATAAACCTCTGCTTCAATGATGCATCATTGTGGATTGCAAGCAACGGAATTCAGGTTGTTAATTGTTTATGGTGAGGGAGAGATCATTATTCTAAAAGTTAACTTCAGGTCAGTTGGTACTGGAACATTTGTTCTGTCGCAGAATTAACCTTACCTGGTGTTGGCCGATTCTTATATGACTTCACCTGACTACTTGAAATGACAAAAAATGTGCATTGCAGTAGCACTAATTAAGTTTTGATCCTGGTTGTTTACTTGGTTCTGAATCTGTTTCAAGATTCCAAAGGAAAAGAGGCAGTTCCAATATGACTTCAAAAAATGAAATTTAATTCCATATTAAGCTCTACACGATAGTGACGGTCTCATGTGAGCATTCTGAAAAACAGGAGGTAAGCTTAAACAATCCTCGAAACAAAATTTAGAGCTATGCTGAACCTTAAAAGCTGATTTCTTATTCCAATATGATCTTTTTATTATTTGCAATCCATACTATAAAAATTATTTGCAGCATGTCCTGCGATAGATTGTAGCATATGATTTATCATTTAAACTCCATTTTTCTTCTACATCTTTGGTAGGTGCTTACTTACTACTAAATTATGGCCTAAAATTTTGGCCGATGCACATTTTGTATTATTTGGCCCTCTGAGGTAACCATGTTCACTTATGTAAGCCAACATAAATTTTAAAATTTAATGTTTTTTTTTTTTTTTTTCTTGAACACTTAGGAGGGCTGTGTGTCATTATATTAGATGACATGCTGACTGCACGGCTGATTCAGTAAACCAATTGGAAATCTTCTTCAAACTTTTACTGAACTGGACCTACCTATTTTTCTACCACATGATTTTTCTGAAATTGCAATTCAATTCAAGATGAAAAACCAATTGAGTGTGTCAGGCTAAGATGAGAATACCAAAGGCTTCTTGCATAGGAAATGCGAGTCATGCGACAATAGCAAATCCAAGTAGATTTTTTGTTGAAGTGTGAGACTGAATACCAACCCATCTTAAAAAACCAGGAAGCAGTTTTGAAGGTGAAATAGACACTATAGATAGGGGGAGAATTGTTGACTTCACTAATACATTCAGATATCAGTGTTGGAATAAGTCCTGAGCTCCTAACTTTAGAA